TGGCGGCCCCGGGCGGCCCGGGGGAGCTCTGGGCGTTTCCACAGAGCGGCGTTAAACCTGGAGGTGCGGATTTGCGGACTCCCAGACGTGGGGTTTTGGGCCCAGTTTTGAGCAGCGGCGTCAGGGCCATCTCGGCGGGCAGCCTGACCTGCGGTCTGGCCCGGGGCTCCGGCGCCCTGCTGCCACACGGCCGGCTCCCTCATCCCTTACTGTCCTTGGAAGCTGGGGCAGAAGGTTAGAGCAAAGCCTGGCCGAAAGGGAGCGGCTTTTTCCTGTGACTGCTTGCACTAATCCAGAAATCCCTTTTTAAGTGGAGAGGTTGACTAAAACCACACCAAAGCATGGAGTTTCCACGAGAATGAGGATCCGGCGTCTCAGGGAACTTGGGCTCTCTGCGGCCCACGCCTCCTCGCCCCTCGGGCGCTGGTTTTAACAGAATGTTCACCCATTTCAGTCAATGCGGTTGGAAATCTCTCGCACGCAAACACTCCTGTTGGGGGCACTGGAAGTAAGCATTGCCCAGGTGCAAATCTGTAACAACAGATTGACTCTAAAACTGCTCTACCCTGGTAGCACCTGGCTCCTAGTTTTGATGTTCACTTCACGGTTATCCTGCTTTAACACATACACATAACTACGCTTACTGCGCCGCCTGGGGATCTGTGACTGGCTTGGTTTGTTTTACCTTTCTTTTCTGCAACCACAGTTGCAGAACTAATGTGCCGTAGGTACAGCATTACTATTATTATTGCTACTAGTATTTTTGGCAAGCCCTTTCACAACAGCACTCTTCCAGGCATCATATTTTTACTGAACATCCAAGATTTATCTAAAAAAAAAAAAACCGAAACAACAAAACAGCATCCAGGGTACCAGAGATCTTCGCAACCAATTCTTTTGGGCATCACGGACCCATGCAATAATTCAGGTCTACTGATGTAAAAGCCCCATTCCTACTATATTGCTGCTGCTGCTCTCCCATCACTAACACACTGCATAATGTAGCCTCTTGCTTCTTTTCAAGTGCAATGTGGAGGTGTTTATATTCTACAGTCTTGGGTGGGTGTTTTTTTTAATCATTCGTGACAATTCCCATCTGCTTATCTACTAACTTCCCTCTACCAATTAGGGTCCTCTTCTTTCTGCAGCTTGGGCCAATTAGCACAGAGTAAGCGAACAGTGGAATTGAAAATCTAACAGCTGCCTTACATCAGCTTCCTACGCAGAGACACGTTTGCCACTGTGCAAGTGCTTTTTTGTAGTTTAGTCCGAGCACCAAGAGACAGCAAGCCCATTTATAAAAAGCAGCTCAGCTGAAGCTGCATCTATAAATAGAGCTGCAAGAAACCGTTAGCCAGAAATCTCAACTAAGCTAGGCAAGAGCTCTGAAGTCAGATCTGAAATGTTTCTCTCCAGTTTTCCATCTACTGTTCACATGTAGCTCATTTTGATGAACATTTAAGATGGCATTAATTGAATTGCACTATCTGGATGCAATTCAGATTGTCAAAAATACTGCTGGATGCTTGTTACAGATTTGTCCTAAACCACTCATTTGAAATAAATTAAAATGATGATTTTCAGTTCGTTTTTCCTTCCCAATGAAGGTGTAGATCCCTTCAGAATTATTTGAATCTTACAAAGGCTTTTTCTTCCTGGTCACCTTTTGCAGACTCCCCAGAAGCAGCATATGAATGCCCAAGGGGTTTTGTTCCAGTTGCAACCAGACTTAGATCATACTGTTACGTGTATGTTCCTGTTATAGAGTAGCACTGGAGGTCAGTCTGTTTCCTTAGTAATTTAAATATGAACATGTAAACAATTGTGAGAAGGCGATGGAGCCATTTTAATCTATATGGTCAAAAGTAAGCATTCAAATACAGCTGAGCTCAGAGATCAAAGTATTAAAAGTTGCTTTGAATTCAGTGTCTTAGGGAGTAGAAGTTCAATTGCCTGCCTTCTTAGGGATTAGCAATATCCCCCCTCAGGTTCCACTGCTAAGGTTCCTGAATTTGTTAATATGTACTTTTATAGTCATAAAGGTGTCTCAAAGGCAGGGTCACTGTTCTGAAATGTCAAACTGGCTTATGGAATAACTTTGCAAGAAAATTCCTAAAAGGAATTTGTGAAGCAAATGGTAATGAGAGCTGAAGGGGAATGGGATGGAGATGGCAACGACAGGGGGATGGAGACGGGACAGACACAAGAGAACAGATGACATGTAACTAACTGGACAGTTTGTTGATACACCATAAAACCACAGTAGCTGTTTTACTACAAGCTGACATACCTGTTTCAAACTCGTGTCACTTAGAGCTAAGATGGCTAGCTTCAAATTAAGACTTAGCAATTTATCTCCTGTCCTTGCTGTTTGACCTCAACATGTATCAGATTGCTGTATGTTCCTGACCCTCAGCTAATCCACAAAGGAGAGACTTTGCCAACAAATGCTGCATCCGATGGCCCTTGAAAAAGAGGCTGAAACAAAAATGGCTCAAAAACTCGGTCCCCTTTCCACTACCACAGCTTTGGTCCAAGCCAGTAGTTTCACACAAGTGCTTGTTTCTTCCAGGCCCTGAATTAGTGACAGACTGCCCGTCTCAAACAGGAAGGCTGTTCAGGGGTTTTCTGAAGGAGATGGAGACAACTGTACATCATCTGCAGAAGGCAGCACACCTTTTTCAATCTTGTGGTTTTTTTTTTTTGTTCATGAGCTAGTCAGGAAATTTTTAAATTTTCCCTGAAGATATCTGTTGTTTCAAGTAATTCTCTACACAGTTGCTATGACTGAGCCTTGGTCTGCAGATTGCAAATATTTCCTGGTTGGCCTGTGACTACAATTTCAACTGCTTGACTGGAGAATTAGGCTTTTCAAATAATTATTTTTATTTTAATAATTTAAAAACAATTATAAAATGGTAACTGATTAACTGATATAATTTCAGTTATTATTTGTATGCTGACTGATATCTGCTGAATGGATATTCCAATTCAGTGAGTCAAATGAATATTCTGTTCAATAACCCTCTTGGTAAGTAGAGTAGTACACAAATTTATACATGAGGTGGACATTACTTTCGTAACAATTGTTATTTGTAACATTGTTTTGGAATGCAAACATGAAAATTTCTAGTCCAGGAATGTCAATCTTTCAAAATACTTCATGTGCATTTTTTCCTGTCAAAACTGAGATTTTCATGAAGAGCATCTCAATGGCTACAAATATATTTGAAAAATACTCTATCAAAAAATTTCAAACAATTCTTGGCAGAATCTTTGTTCTGAACAGTGGCATCCTACAACATAAAGGGGTTAATATCTTCATAATAATTGCAAATAGGATTAAAATATCCTTATCTTGCATTTTGACATATTAAAAATTAAACTGACCTGAATAATTCCTGCCCCTAAATTTGAAAATGTTTAAAATTAATATGTAGCAAACTTCAGGGTGAAACAGCTACAATTGATTTATACACCAGTTTCGACAAATCCACACAAATGTGAAGTACTTCAAGGAACAAAAATACTCTCTTAATTACATGTTTTATTTAAGGCACATATATCTGATTCTACATTTGTATCCTCCCCAGAGTCACTCCACTATTTTAGACAAGAAAGGAAAGAAAACTAGCAAGCCCTAGTCTTAAAATTGTTTGGAGTCCACTTATAAAAAGTGTTGAAGGGTCAGGTGAAGGAGAACCTGCTATCTGAAAATGAAAAATTGAAGTATCTTCATACAGAAGTATAACCAAAAGGAAAATGACATATCAAAGGAAAAGGTAATCATTGCTTTTAACAGTAAATCTGCTGCTATATAAAGCATCCTGATGACATAGCTAATTATTTGTCCTGATATGAAGTTCTGAAAACAAACCAGGACAGACTTTCAACAGCTCTACCTTCAGCTGTGCACAGCTGTCACTTTGGAAAGGAGCAGGCTGAACTCTTACCTGTGCCTCAGTGGAAAAAGGGAAGGCCTGTAGATATTTTACAAAATAGAGGAATCGCAAAGGAATATAAAGAGAATGAAAAATGCTTTTCACACAGCATAAATATGATGCTAATGTCTCTCTTTAGAAATAGCAGCTCAACAGCATTAATTTACAGGTAATCCCAACTACTTTTGTAGTTAACACAAATATCTGCACGTCTAATCTTTCTTCCTGTCCCTTGGTAGCCCTCCGTAAATTGCAGCCAAGCATTGATTTTGAAAAAGAAATCCAGCAGGCTCCCCAGGTGTTCCTGTTTGGATTTCATTTTCCCAGACCACAGTGAATCACTCTTACAGTGATCTTTTGGCTGCTGCCTCACGGTGTGAAACACATTTGCACTGTACTTTTGGAAGTCACGTTCTTTGTGGTTTGCTAGTGACCTATGAACTACGGCACCAACACAGAAGTTGTAGAACTTGAGCCTTACTGTGGTGTAGAATATATGACATCTCGAATACTGGTTTGTGTGGTTATCATAAAGCTTTTCAAGTCACACACTGATACATGAGCAGTGTTATTTATCCAGTTACTGAGGCAGATGAAATTGCTGCAGGAGAGGAAGAAAGAGGATACAAGAACTCTGGGTCAATCCAGACACAGGAAAAATAAAACAGTATAAATAGTAGATGTAAAACGCATTGGAAGACAAAAAGTATTTATTGGATACAAATAGCTTCTCAGCACTAGAAAGGTAATAATAATAGTCAGTAACTGAAGGCTGGAGAGAGGATGGTAGGCACCTTTCTTTGTCTGGGCATCATACTGCATGTATAATCATCTTTTGCCTGCTTTCTTGTTCTTTAGCAGAATTTGGCTGCAAGAATCTGAATGCAACTACAAAGTGAGAGAACACCAGTGAAACATGAGTGGTCTGAACAAGGGCATTTTCAACATGCTCTTGGAGGGTACATATATATCTTTCTTGGACCAGTCAGCTCACGGCCACTCAAATGTTTTAACGTTTCATGGCTTACAGTAATATAATATTGTTTAATTTTTATAAAAATCATAGAGACAAGGCTATTGAGTTAGGTACAAGGTTTGCTGCTGATGCCCAAAGTGTGCAAGAATACAAATGAAAAGCAAAATCCTGAATGTACAGGTTATACCTGAAAGCTGCACATAGATACAACAGTACAATATAATCAACTTGACATAAAGGGTTTTCATCCACAGTAAGAAATGATTGCTTTGACCTGTGATAATAC